GTAATAATATATTTGGTTAAAGATAGTATAGCAAAAGCAAGTTTTTTTCTCTTCTCTCCAGTGATATCTCCCCACAAATCACATTTTAATCTGTCAACAAAATACGTATCTATCTATATATATGCCAGCAATAGGAACACCAGAATGACCTGAATGACCGGTCACTATGATGCCCACTGCAGCGGGCCAACCAGCCTGATCAGGAGTGGGGCCAGCCAGCCAACCTCCTGTGGCTCCTCCCACCCAACAGCCAGCCCAGCTCCCACCAGCCTCCCCATTCCAATCAGGGGCAGGGCCAGCTGGCCAACTTCCTGCAGCCCCTCTCCCTGGCCAGCCACCCACCCTGATGGGGGGCAAGGCCAGCAGCCAATCTCCCATGGCCCCTCCCCCCTACAGGCCTGGCCCTGATTGGCCCCCATTTGGGTGGGTCAGCCTGACCCCACCCATGCACGAATTTGTGCACTGGGCCTCTAGTCCTATATAAAAGGCTAATGTGCAAATTGGGTCCTCTGGAGTTTGACTGGGAGTTTGACCACTCACTATGACATGCACTGACCACCATGGGGTGGCACAGAATGAAGGAAGGCCCAGCCAGCGGCTGGCAGCTGGGGGAAGGAAGACCCCAATCAGCCCTGATTGCTGGCGAGGTCTAGAGATCCTACCCGTGCACAAATTTTGTGCACTAGGCCTCTAGTATTTACATCTTAGTGAAACATGGAAATTCCCACAAACTCCAATAACCTTGAAGAATATTTGATAGAAACAATAAATGCAGACCTAAATGAAAAAGAATGCCTAAAGTGGATTCAAACTTCCTCAGATTTCAGACAAAATACAGATATGTCTAAAAGGAAGAATCACAGTTTTGAAAGACCTCTTTAGGGACCTTTTGGGGGAATAACAAGACCCTTGTGTGATAGAATATAGAAGAGACAAAAAGTGTCACTAAGAAACCTAATCCATGCCACACCTCAGAATGACAGTTAAGATGGAGCCAAAGGAGGAAAAATTAATGTCTACCCCACATGCAAAATACACTCATCCCATCCCAATGTCCCCTAAAGTCTCTACATTTACAGTGTCAAGCCAAAATCCAAAAATCTCATCAGCTCAAAAGTCCCAAATGTAATCATTTAAATATTCTAAATTTGGTATGAGTGAAACTCAGTATAATCCATCTTAGGTTCAATTCCTCTCTATGGACCTCTGAAACTTAGGAACCAATTGTCTGCCCCCAGAATACAACAACGAAACAAGCATAAGATAAAAAGTTTAAACACTTCCATTCAAGACAGAAAAGTAGAAAGAAAAAAGAAGGAATGTTTTTGAAATTCTAGCTTATAAATTCCATTAGATTTCAAGAGTTGGAAATAAATCCTCTGTGGTTTTCAGTTCTGCCTTCTGAATCTTCCTTCCTTCCTCCCACCCTTCCTTCCTCCCTCCCTTCCTTCCTTCCTTCCTTCCTTCCTTCCTTCCTTCCTTCCTTCCTTCCTTCTTTCCTTCCGTCCTTCCTTCCTTTTATTTTATCCTTTCTGATCACTCTTCCTTCCTTCCTTCCTTCCTTCCTTCCTTCCTTCCTTCCTTCCTTCCTTCCTTCCTTTTTTATTCTTTTGTTTCTATTTTCAAGAAGGATAGAAAGGATCTGTTGATGAGAAGTTTAATGAGTCTGTTTCCTGACTATAAACTTACGTCTAGTAACATGATTTCATTTCATACTCTCTGTCCTTCTTGGTTCAAGCTGGAAGTGTTCTTCTGATATAAACATCTCAAAAAACTTGTAGTTCTCCCATGTATGGGAGATTCACTCCATTAGACATGAGGCTTCTCTACACTTCTTTCCTGGAAAATTCCATCCCCATTCTTGACTTCTGCTTAGGTCACTGGGAGGTTCTATTGGTCACACTTTTTTCCCTCCATAAAAAAAAACCTTTGTGTAACTGATTTTTTTTATATATATCTGTCTGAGGTTATTAACAAAAGGTTGTCCAGCCATACTCTCAGCTTTATTCTACTGTATATTTTCCTAATGGTGACACTCAGTTTTAGTATCTTTCACAATCTGAATGAATTGAAAATTTTCCAAAATAACTGGTTCTGAATGAGTTGAGAATTTTCCAAAACATCTGGTTCCTTTTTGTGTAACAGTTCTATCATCTTATTCTCCTGCATTTTACTATAAGTAGCAGAAGTACCTAGGCTTCACATTCAAACTTTTGCTTGGAAATCTCTTCAGCTAAATGTTCAAGGTCATAGCATACAACTTGTACTTTCTACATAAGCTATAGACCACAATTCCACTGAGCTTTTGCCCACTATATAACAAGCATCTCCTTTCCCTAAGTTTCTAATAACATGTCCTTCATTTTCTTTGGAGCCCTCATTAGCAGTACCTTTAACTTCCATTATTTCTATCAACAGTCTCTTTGTGATTTAGATATTCTCTAAGGTTGTTTAGATTTTCTCTATCATACTCCTCACTTCCTTCTGAGACCTTAGCAGAATCATAAATGTTCATAATTCTACTAACAGGCTGTTCAAGACAATCCAGGCTTTTCTTTTTCTATTTTTCAAGCAGAGTCTTCAATATTCTTCTAACCTTCACCTGCCACCCAGTTACACATTTTTAGATGACCTTTGTCAATCAGTGTTCAACTAGAGAGGCAGAGGGCTTTATTGCCACAAATTGGCTTATTCAATTGTGGGGACTGCTTAGGCAAGTCCCAAATCCATAGAGCAGGCTATCCGAAAGGGCAGGCTGGCATTCTGGGGGCATAGAAAGAAGTTATTATACACAGGAAGAATTTCTTCTTCAGGGACGCCTCAGCTCTGTTTTAAAGGACTGTTAACTAATTGTATCAGGCCTGTGCGGATTATCTAGGATAATCTCCTTCATTTACATCAACTGATTATGCACTTTAGTCACATCTACAGAATACCTTTGCAGCAGCATGTAGGTGAGTGTTGAACAACTGGGAACTATAGCTTAGTCAAGCTTACACAACAACAAGACCATGACAAGCTAACTAAACTTAAGGATATAAAATGTATCCTTTGGGACTGCGAATTATTTCCAACAGCTAGTAATAACTGGCTTCAGTTTTTCCAAAACAACATTCAATGAAAGAAGAAGAATACTTATAAAATTTTGAGGAAAAAAAAAGATGCAAACCCTTGTATACTTGTATTAAACCAAGTATAAAGATACACACACACACACACACACACACACACACACACAGAGTGAAGAAGCCATGGCAAACATGAAGGAAGGAAAGATAAAAGGATGAAGCTGGTAAGTATTGAATTCATTTAAGTATATAGAACTCATTTAATATAGAGAATTCATTTAAATATATAAGCCAAGCAATTGCAGAACTTGTAGGAAAAGTACATACATAGATGCCTTGAAAATATATATTTTAAATTATCAGATATATTTTTAAAATTGAGAGATAATTTGGAGAAGTTTAAATGTGATAATTTTATCTTTTTATTGGTAGATTTCCAGTAAAGAATTTTGATAAATTAGGAAATAATTTAAGTTTTAAATTTAATAAAGTATTCTTTAAAATTTTTTCAGAATAATCCTGACCAAGTTAAACTCTCAATGGGTAACATACACATTATTTTAGCTAGACATAATGCTACCTCTACCAGTTTAGAAATTTGGTTACCAATGAAAAGAGGAGAGATTAAACATGCATATATTTATATTCATTCCCTCATTCTCCAAATGAATTAAAGGCATTTGGCAAGAAACCCTCATGGGATAATTTTTCTATAAATATATAAATAACATACTTTTCTATAATTATAAATACTTCACCTTATACTGTTTTCTAGATCTAAGCAAACATTTATGAATCAGGTAATCTAGTAATTGTCTTTAGGAGCAAAGTGATGTTTCGATTATATATATATTTCTGGCATTTGAGTTAGGCTAAACAGCAACATTCCAGTGTTTTGTGCATGTTGTTTCTTGAAATATAAGATAACTCGAGTTATTTCCCCTTGGGTTTTTCCCAAAAGAGCAAGATTAATTGCTTGACTAAAGATAGGCTTACATAATTTATAGATGCATATGTGGTCTATTGTGCTGTATTTAATATCTCTCATAGGATATCAAGCTTAAAGGATAAAGTAAATTAGAGACCTGCTATCTCTCTGTTTTGTTTTAATTGGGCTTTAAAAAGGTTTCATTAAAAATTATATGGAAACTAAAGAAAAACAGATTAGCAAGCTCTAAGATCAAATGGATTGGCAGAAATAATAAGCACAATGTTTTTAGTGGTCCGTGGCACATTGACAGAAGTTATTAAATTGATAACAAATATCAGCCTAACATATTGTATTGTCTTGAGGGAAAAGGGAAAGATTAATATAATGTAGTTCAGAAAACGCATTGAGATACTCTTCAGGAACGATACAAAGTAAAGAAGAAAAGACAGATGAGCTTGACTATAGTACATTAAAATTAAGAGTTTCAGCTTATCAAAAGACCACCTTTCCCCTCTCTTTTGGGTTAGAAATACCCTTTACAAGCATTGCATGCTAATATGATACCTAATACACTGTGATTTGATCATAGCCACATGTTCATTTTTTTATCTTTAACCCAGAAGCAGTCAAGAGACACTATGTTGACAACAGCTCCTCCTTGTGAAACAATGTCACCTGTAGACAGGCCTGCAGCAGCACTTCTTTTCTGCACTTTAATGCAATCTTCTCCATGGCTCAAAACTTAGCATTAGTTATGAGTGACTGAGAGAGTGGTGGCTAAAAGGTCAGCGTGACTGTCAAGGTAAGATAAGTCCATATTCCTGCCAAAGCCCTGTGTTTAGATATGTGTATTTATATAAATGTCTGAGTTTCTAACTATTTAACAGAGAACAGAGGATATGTACAGTTATTTCTAATGTACATTATCGAGTTTTTTAGTTTGTACACATTTGACACTCCAGAAATCTCATTTCAAAATTAGGATTGAGTCCTGGCCAGCGTGGCTCAGTTGGTTGAATGTTGCCCCATGAACCAAAAGATCACAGGTCCAATTACTGGTCGGGGCACATACCAGGTTGTTTGGTCCCCAATCTGAGTTCACGCAGGAGGCAGCCAATCAATGTTTATTTCTCTGTCTCTCTCTCTCTCCATCTTTCTTTCTCTCTCTCTAAAACAATAAAAATATATTTTCTAAAATTAGGATTGAAATCAGTATCTTAAACCTAGTGATTACAATTATGGATCCTAATGAAAGCAAATGATGAGATAAAATACAGAGCCTCACTTTGGGATCAAAATGATAAGTTATAGGGACCAAATTTAATAACCATTCTAAATGGTGTCTGTGCCTACAGTAATTATTGTTACAGTCGAGTAACAACTCAAAAAGTTTCATGAGTTCAGCATTTTTATCTATATTGTTACTCTCTGCATCCCTTTCTAAAATGGATTTTAGCAGTTTCTCTGATGATTTATGCTAAAATCTCAGATTTCAATTCAGATTTTTTAAAGGAAGCTTCATGTTTCAAACCACATTTTACTTTACTTGGGATAGCAGTTAGAAATAGAAAATATATATATATATCTATCTCCCCATTCATTTAGGTTTTCATATGATCTGCTAGTGAACTGGTTAAAAAAAAAAAGTTTTGCCCCATATACCCATGAGATTCATAGCCTTGTTGCAAATTAAAGAACATTTTCTATTTATTCCTCATTAGTGTTGGCATGTAAGCATTTTCAAAAAGAACTTGTCACATTATTTTATTTAACTTTCTGAGAAATCACCAAAGACTTAAAAATGTGAGAATTATTCTTACATGTAATATTTTAAATAAAATTATCATGTTGCTGCCTTAATATGCCAAAAATATAGTTGAAAGTTTTTTCTCTTATAAGTTGTCATGAGGAATTTGGAATTCATGCTCTCTTATTGGATGACTCATATGATCCTGAGATGTATATATAAGAAAGCTATCTTTAAAAAGGAATTCATTCTTGTGTAGTGATACAGAATGGATTTGTTGTATCAAGCTAATTAGTTCATAAAATAAATGAATCCATAATGCTAGGTCTTTCTAATATGCTCCATTCAAAAGAGCTAACTGGCTCAAATATAAACTTATTATATTGATTAATAATATAAATATGTGTCAATAATACACTTTTAAAAAATTAAGATGCAAAGTATCATTTTTCTGTACAGTAAATTGTACCAGTCTGGGAGAAAACTGGAGTAATTCTTAAAACAAACTCAAATTTAGAATTTTTTACATGACACCAAGACCTTAATTTTAGTCATCACTGGAAGTAGTTTGAAAGAAATAATGGGTCTTACACTAAGTATTATCAGACTTGATTAGGAAGTACCAAAGAAAAAACAGGAATAAAATATATCAACTTTGATTTTATTTTCAATTTTGAAATTGGGGGGGTGGGGGGAAGAAAACATATTCTAGTGTGGTGAGTTTCTTGTCAATGGCAACATGAAGCCAATAAAACGGAAGGAATAACATATCTATCCTGAGGCAATACCTGACATTGAGGATCACTTTCAAAAGGAAACATTTCCATTAGAAAAGCCTGAATTTTATCAAAATTTGGATTAGTCCCAATAGGAATATCTTGTCTTGAATCATTTTATGAGGTTGCTTATTACACTGTCAAGGAAAAGAAGTGATAAATGACTAAAGATTAAAATGAGATTTTGGAAAAGCCATATGCCCAGAATATAAATGGTCAAATGGCTGTGGAATGGATAGAAGATAAATGTGAAGTCCCTTGGAACTACTTAAAAAAGCCCAGATCTAAGCTAGCAGGAAGGTATGGAAGCCTGAGAGCTGTTAAGAAGCAAACTTCTATTTGTCAAGAGACATCTTTTTAAATAAAGTGTTAGAAAATGAAAAAGTAAAGATACTATACCATAACAACGTGTGCTTTGATAGACTTTATCTATTACTTAGATATTAGTCACCTCTCTAGATATATTGTACCTAAATAGGCTCATACATAATATCATTGTCATCTATGAATTCTTTGGAGATCTTGTTAAGATTAAAATTCTGTATCTGTGCTGCCCAGGACATCATGAATGGGTAGTTTGGGGTAGAGCTTGACATTCTGCATTGCTGACATAAGCCAAGTGGACATCAATATTGCTGATATCAATGAACACTGAGTGGAAAGGTTCTCATGGCTGACTAGCTGATACAGAGGAAGGTCAGTTTTGGGGATAGACCAAATCAGAACACTTCTTCAAAAAGAACATGACAGTCAAAATAATTACAGGTAACAGTACAGAATGGCATGGAAGCCTCCTTGCCTCATGGTCCACGCGTTTTCTTGTCTATTCTAAAGACATGGGAAGGAGAAGAAGCCGTGTTAGAGGGGAAAAAAATTACTCATCTTTCCCCATTGCCACAACAGTACCTACCGTCTACATACAGTCCAGTGACGTTAATTTTCAATAAAGCAACAGAGCTATTTCAAATTTCTGTCCTTCTTGTTTATCTTCCATGTGTCTTTTTCTCCATTTCCACTCAGAGCCTATTAGTTTTCATGGAAACAATGCCTGGTGTGCGCGAGAAACAGAGACTGAGGCAAAGTGCCGAATGTTACATTCGATCCTCTGAGCCGGGTTTCTACCACAGTTGGACAGCAGCAAAATTAAATCAGAAATTAACTCGGGCATTATTCTGGATTCAGCTCCAGAAGGCAGGCTGCTGGTCTCTGCAGGAGAACATGTGAATCTGAGCTGCAGAGGGTGGTTAGGCAATGAACACCATACTGGGAGAAAACGGATTTGTAGGAAAAAGGGATAAATAAAAGTTCTCTATCTCCTTTCTATGAATTTCAAAATGCCCCTTTGGTGTGAGGTGATGGGATTACCGCATTAAAAAACTGTTAGTTAGAACTGAGGAAAATAGCATGGTTTTCATCCTTTAGGAAACAGTCTCTGGTTAGAAAACATAAAAAAGACATTCACGTTATATAAGATTTCTGTTTACATATATGCAGGCAAGATAAAGACTGCTAAACTGGAGGTGTCCAGAGAAAATCTGAACCTGATTTGTTAAGGCATGAAGACAAATGATGATCAAACAGAGCACTTTACAATGAACAGCCATGAACACAGAAGTACAGTTTACTGCTGCTATTAGCGATAATTGGGTTTTGGAAGGAGACAGAAGCCGAATGCAATATAGGTAATTAAAGAACAAGCTTTTGTTAACACTGGCAATCAAGGGGTTGTGATTTTACAGACTTGGAACCCATTATGATGCCCTATGAGTAGCCTATTTTTAAACAGGTAGTGTATTTCTCTTTTTTACAACACTAAAGTGTAACCATGGCAAACAGACAGGTCATTTTCTATTCAAACTATTTACTATCAATTTAAGGCAAAGATGAGCATGTTTAGAATCCAGAATTACTATGGAAACCATATTCTTAATCCCGAGGACTGGGGAGCAATTGCTTATGAAATTGTGATGGCTAAATTACAAGTCCCTCAACACTGCATTTTTGTAACTACTATCTCAAAACTAAGCATATGGGTTTTTATTTTGTTTCCCTTTAAAATGAACTCATTGTTTTTTTATAAGATGCCTATAACATTTTGATTAGGTAACTTAAAGCAAACATGGTATTTCAAAATATGATGGCTGAGAATCAAAGTTAAAGTCATAATGAATATAAACAACAATTACAATTGTCATACCAGATGTTCAACATTTCTGGAGAAATAACATAGACTTAACATTTTTATAAAGCTCAAAAATAAAACATGAAAATAATACCAGTACATTTAATAAGTAGGAACCTTTTGGGAAAGTTCCTAAAATATGCTACTTAGAAAGAAAACCTGAATCTCAAGGAAAGCCAAAATAAGTTTTAAGACTGAAGGCAGAATAGGTAGACTTAAGCAATTCCCAAGAAGAAAAAGGGCATTAGACACTTTTTCTCAAAAAGTGTCATCAGTTGTTAATTAATATGGAAACTTGAAACCTTGCGTGGTCTTTTTCTATAGGACAGTGAGAAGGTGGACCTTTAAGAGTCTCATGCTCTACCGACTGAGCTAGCCGGGCACGTCCTGAAGGTGGACCTTTAGATGGCATGAAGGGCTATGTAAAAACTATAGATCAAACAAAGTCTAGTGATTTATAATAAATGGCTCAAGATCTCATCCAGCTAAAAGACTGCCACGATATGGCCCCCTCCAGATACATTTGGAATGAAGATGTAATTGGATGTTCTATTTAGAGTATATGCTATTAAAGTAGGCTTTTATCAACACCAAATGGGCCTAGTAACATAATTTAACAAGAAAGCAAATAATGGAATGGAATTAAGCAAACAACAACAAAAAATACACCCACACAGGTGAATTTAGCACTGGGGGGCTTCAACTGAATTTTTTAAAAAATTCTGAATTAAATACAAAATGCCCACAGCATAGTCTTCCCAGCAAGTACATTATTTGTTAGAAGCAAGATTGGCGCTTCAATGCATTCTGATTCCTTATTTTGTTACATAATAATATGCTTAAAAAGCAACACATTGTGAGCTTGGGAGCTGTTAGGCATTTATTTACCATGGTGGGTTAATCTCATTCAGTGAGGTATAGAAACTCAATAATGAGTGCTACAGTATATAAGCTAATTGCTAGGATAAAACCAAATGAATAATTACTTAACTCTGGAATGAGGCCTGCGGGAATTTTTCTTTAATAAAGGTTTAATTCACCAGTGATAATGAATGCAATCTCACATACTACTGAATAACACCATTAACATAATGACTATGATACAAAAACTATAATTAGAACTAAACAGAAACGTTAATTACAACCACCAAGGTACTGAATGAAATACTGTTGTTTAAGAAATTGACCTGCTTTGCTGTCATGCTTTATGGGCTCAAGAATATCTCTGTAATTAAATATACATGTTTATAAAGATATATAGAATATAGTTTATATCATTCTACTGGAATTCTCTGAAATGTAATAAATACCTTAATGAAAAATTGTGCAGAATTTGAAAGACAAGTTAAACATTAAAATGATTAAATTTTTTTATCTTGGTTAAAAGGAAATATCAATATTTGTGTTAAAATTTTTCAATATTAGAGAGAGCAGGTATCTTCAATTTTGCATTTTATTGGTGTTAACTCTATGAGCACTAGAAAAGTAGTTATGAAAAATGAGCAAATCAACAAGTTTGAAACATTACTATAATAATTTGAAAAAATAAGTTGCATAATAAATGAAAAGTCAAAGTACTAAACTGGTACTTCTAAAAAGACGAAGCTGTGATTCTTAAAAGTCTTTGAATTTCAGTTACCCAATATATAAATATGTACATATTTAACTGCACATATAATAGATTTATGTATCTAAATTTATGTTGATAAGCATTTTGAAACCAAATGTCACACTCTATTAAGCATCAAAAACAATAACAACTCTCTATTATACAGACACTTTCAATGCTTAGGAATACTTATAAATATTAACAAAAAGATAAAGCCATTTGCCTCAAATATGTTTTATTGACAACTTTATTGGCACTGAGCTTTTACAATAAAGGAATATTTATTTTTTACTAAATTATTGGGGAGATCAATCGAAGGACTTATATGCATGCATATAAGCATAACCAATGGACATGACACAAGACACTGGGTGGGAGGGGGCGGTAGGGGAGGCTGGGGGAAGGTCAAGGGGAAAAAAGAAAGGAGACATATGTAATACTCTTTGTAATACTTTAAGCAATAAAACAAAATTTAAAAAAATTTATTGGGGTGATATTGGTTAATACAATTATATATGTTTCAAGTGTACGTTTCTATAATACATTTTCTGTATACTAGAGGACTAGTGCATGAATTCATGCACAGGTGGGGTCTGGCCTGCCTGCCCCAATGGGGGCCCATCAGGCAGGGCTGGCCATGGGGTCTAATACTGGAGCTATAGCTCTCCCCCAGCTGGATGTAATTATACTTTAAAGATGGCCAAAAGAAAACCCACAATAGAACTCTTTTGCATTTCATGTGTCATGAGATGAAGTTGTTTATGTGTTGTTTGCAAATGTATATCAAGATGGATGATGGCTCTTTAATGATTTTTGTGTTCTTCCCGGAGCTCTGCCCTCACTTTCCCAATGTGATCTTCATGTCTATTTATTTAAAAGTTTTTCTGTTTTTGAATGTGCCTACCCTTCACTGTTGCTCCTGGCACCCTGTGGGTCCTCTTCACCGCCCATTTTAAAAAGAGATTGAAAACTCACCTAATCTGCAAGGCACTGCAATTTTACAAAATCCCTAACCAGCCTCTCTACATTCCTCAGCAAAGGGCCACCATCATGCTAATGCTTAGGTCACCTTTTTGGCTAATTTAGAATGTCTACTGGGGATGCAGGGCCATGGAGAGAGAATTCCACACTGTGGTTGCAGTATTAGCAGAGCCCTCTGGATACTCTGGTCAGGGACAGGAGGGTCTGGTAATTATTTCCTTGTGCTTTCACTAAATGTACATGCACCAGGGAACCAGGCAGTGATTTAGGGGTGTTGGGGGCTATTTGGGGGCAGGGCCAGCCAGGGAGAGAGGCCGCTGGCAGTTGGATCAGGCTGGTTGGCTGCTGTAGTGCGTGTCATAGCCACCATTCATTCTGGTCATTCTGCCATAACGGTCTCTGGGCTTTTATATATATAGACTAGGGGCCTGGTGCACGAAATTCATGCACTGGGTGTGTGTGTGAGGGGCGGAGAGTGTCCCTCAGCCCAGCCTGCCCCCTCTCACATACTGGGAGACCTCAGGCATTGACCCCCATCACCCTCCAATCGCAGGATCAGCCCCTTGCCCAGGATGACGCCTCTGACATTTCCCCCCATCACTGGTTCTGCCCCCAGGCCTGATGCCACTGGCCCAGGCATCAGGCCTGGGCAGGGGACCCCCATCTCCCTCTGATCGCTTGCTCCACCCCCGCCCAAGCCTGATGCCTCTGACCCAGGCTTCAGGCCTGGGCAAGAGGACCATCATATCCCCCCAATCCCCGGCTCCGCCCCCGACCCAGGCTTGATGCCTCCGGCAGAGGAGTTGATCCTCATCACCCTCCGATCACCAATCACCGGATCGGCCCCTTAACCAGGCCTGAGGCCTCCAGCAGAGGTGTCAGGCCTGAGCAGGGGACCCCCAGCTCCCCGCGGTTGCAGGCTCCGCCCCTGTCCAGGCCTAACGCCTCTGGCCTAGACGTCCGGCCCGGGCAGCGGGGACCCGCAGTGGCAGCGGCCCCGCGATCGTGGGCTTCGCTTTAGGCCCGGGCAAGGGACCCCTAGCTCCTGGGACTGCCAGCTTCGACCGTGCCCAGCTCCCATCGCTGGCTCCACCTCTACTTCCTGCTATCAGTGGCCAGGGCGGCAAAGGCGCCTGATTCTCTGATCATGGCTGGGGGGCAGGGCAAAGGCGGCCCCCAGCTCTTAGCTCCCCACTATTTGTCTGATCACTGTCAGTGGCAGGGGGCTTCTTCCTGTTTTCCCTTTCGCTTCCCTGCATTGTGCCTACATATGCAAATAAACCGCCATCTTGTTGGCAGTTAACTGCCAATCTTAGTTGGCAGTTAATTTGCATATAGCCCTGATTAGCCAATGAAAAGGGTAGCATTGTACGCCAATTACCATTTTTCATTGAGAAGGCCAGTGTATAGAATATAAAATAATTTTTCTACAGCAGAAACTTGAATGAACTTTAATTTACCTTGAATTAAAAAACTATTTTATACCCATTAAAATCTAACACTAGGATTTAAAAATAATGCATTAACCTGGACAGCATAATGTTAAGCATTTTTTGAAAATGTGTCACTAACCATCATAAATGTGGATTAAATACTATTAATCCACCCAAGCAGATATAGAAATGCCTGTTGTCATACTTAACTCCCCACAACACATATGATGAAATTACCTCTAACTGTATGATTAGAGAGAGACCCCATGTTGCTCGCATTAAGCAAGCCTATGACTTGCCTGACTTTGAAAGGAGAAGGAGGAGGAATTTCCAAATGACTCCCAGCAATCGGTACTTTTACCCTTGGGTGACCTCTGTAGTTAGAGAATGCATGCAGAGTCTGAGAAAGATTCACCTTGCTATAAACCTTGCACCATTCTGCAAATACACGAAAAAATAAATTAAGTTAATTCAAGTGCTGTTGCTGCTGCTAACACTGTCCTTCACTGAGGAGGAAAAAAGATTAGGTGGGTTCAAGCATTGGGGAGGACTGTAGAGAAGGAAAACTTGGAAATGGCACAAAAAAATTTACATTCTTTGTATGCTTATTGGCATATAAAATATCTGAAGAGGAGAAAGAAATAAAACATGTATTTTGTTGTATAAAATTAGTTACCATGGTTTAAGCATGTGGCTCTATCCAGATACTAGGCTTTTCTTCTTCTTTTTTAATTTTTACAGTTTCCACTTCATAATATATCAAAACTCCTGTCCAAACAGAGCCTGATACTACACCCACAGTAAAATTCTGCCTTTTCTGTATTTTTAATTAACCCGATCCCAGCAGTGGTTTTTAACAGCTAACATTTTGTGTGAGTTACAGTATGCACACTGCTGAGACATAAATGCAAAGTAATCACCCTAATAAGTAGATATAAACATTTACAACAATTGCAACAAATCCCTGAAACAAATACGGGGATATAAAGAAAAATAACCAGCAGTAAGCCAGGAACTAAGTCTCAATACAGCAGCATGAGTATGAATGTCATTCAGAACTCTGGTCTTTTGTTGCCCTTAGTAATTTCAACACCCAGAGTCACTAATGAGTGTGTGTGTGTGTGTGTGTGTGAGAGAGAGAGAGAGAGAGAGAGAGAGAGAGAGAGAGAGAGAGAGAGAGAGAGAGAGAACTGATTTAAAAATAAAAACAAAAGCCAAGACTTCAGTTTTCACATGTGTGCCAAAAACACTAGCAGAGAACTCTATGCACTTGTGTGACTATCGTTTCCATAACAGAAAGAAATGATAATACTGCAGCCCAGAACCAAACAGGGCAAGCCGTTGGCATTCTACCCACAAAAACCAACAGGCCCTAAGGTGGGGAAGAAGCTGAATGAATGTGAAGAGCAGGGAGAATGAGAATGGAGCTGGAGCCCAGTGAGGCAGACCAGAGTGGAACAAGATGAGGCTGGAGAAACAGATAGCAAAGAGGGCATGAAAAGCTTGGTAGGTCAAGATAAGGGGAACAGATGTTATTTTAGGCACAAGGATGACATGAGAGGATTTTAAGCATGATGGTACTATACTCTTGCTTATGTGTCTTAAAGGTTACTTTGGCTGTAGGTTACAGTATGGGTTGTATGGAGCAAGAGTGAAACCAAGAAAAGCACCTATGGGCTATTATAATAGGTGGTTTGGTATTCCGAGGTGAGGCTACACAGTATATAGATAGAGGCAGAAAAAAAATAGATGAAGAACAGGAATTATGGGAGAGGGTAAGGAAAAGGAAGAAAGAATGAATCCCAGATTGAAATGTGGGCCTATGGGAAAATAATGAAGAACGAAAGCTCATACAGAATTTAAGTGAATAAATTTTCAGGTTTCTGAGCTACACCAAGCAAGGACTCTCTCTTATATACCATGGATAATGTTACTGCCATTAACAATATATTATCTACTATGACACAGAAATGGATACATAAATAAAGATTGGGGGAAAATAACAGAATGTTTAAGTGTGAGCTGAACCCTGGTCTAGGAGCTTTCACCCATTTAAACCTCACAGAAACAAATGTCACAGGCGAGAAAATTCAGGTCCAGAGAAGTGATAAGCCCCAACATCACCCAGAAGATGAATATTAGAGCCAGGATCCAAAACTAAGGCAGTGTGCCTCCAAGTCTATGCCTTTATCCTTTTATAGGATACAACTTTCAAAACATATTTATGTGCACATGTGAACACACACATGCACATACATTGAAAGTTCTATGGTATAGGTGCAATAGAACAAAGATTGATGCCAACTCTAAGCATCTGGGAATGTGTAAGAAATAAACAAAAATTGATGTTCCCCACAAAGTTCAACATGTCCAACAACTGATGTTTCGTGCATAGTTGGGTATTTAGAGAACGACTTTTATAAGTGATATCTGGCTAGATATAAAGTTTGAGACATGATTTATCTCCTTCAAACAAGCAAAGAAAAACACATATCCAATTGTCCTAAAGTCCTTAAAACAGTTTCTGGCTCCTGGGAAGCAGAATGAAGGGAGGGAGGATATTATGCAGAGAACTGAAAATTTTAGGTGCCAATGCTTATCTGATTGTCATATATTTCTCTGTAGGTTAGAAATCTACACATCAGCATACACCTGCTAGTTTTTCAAGAAACAAAATAGTATAATCACCATAGTTTTATTTAGTCCTTTTAATTTTCTCAAGAAAACAATTTTTTCATCAAAATATTAGAAAAATAATTTGCCTCAGCAAAAGAGAATACAAACATAGTATCTCTAATTTAGAAAGATACTGCACCTATATTCATTGTGCAGTATATTCATTTTAATATATGTATTATTAAAAACAGAAAGATATCAATATTTCAATTCTAGCTGGATTCCTCTTTGGAGGCAGATGACTGTTTACCTCAGCAATGTAAAAATTGCCACCAGAGATCTTTTTTTAAAAAATAGAAATGGTCCTTATTATCTAAGAAACAGCTGTATACCCCATAGGCAAGAAATGAAAGCTCTTAAAGGCATGATTTTTAAAATTCCAAATGTTATGTTACAGTAATGTAATACTAATTAAAACGACAGCTTGGAAATAAATTCAAGATGTCTACTCCATCATCCACAGTAAAGAAGAAAGGTAATGCAGATTGACCAAAATAATGGACAGCAAGTCAGTTGTGTTTACTTTGGGATATAATTTTTATTCAAATATTCCAGCCACAGAAATGAAAAAGAAAACAACAACAACAACTCAGAAATTGCCTGAGGTCTATGGAAGGTCTTCTGTCACACCCTTGATCAATGACTTCCTGTAACTCACTGCATCCTGAGAACACACTGCTTTCTTTTCCAGCTGACGGTTAGCTGCTAACCCCTTGCAATGGCCTAAGCTTAGCAGACCTTCCAAATCCTCTCTGGGGGAAAGTAGTTTAAATGGACAATCAGATAATAAGCTCTTGTTTTGTCCAAATACAATTTGGTTAAGAAATTTTGTTCCAATGACCCATCTTTCATTATTTCAAAGGTAAAGGATCCGAGATAACAATAAAGAATGATTAGATGAGAAAGGTCTGAACTATCCATAAAGGGAGAAATCCCTGCAGAGTGAACACTCTATATTGTGCCCTTGTAGCATGATTATTTATGATTTAAGCCAGCAAAGTAGCAAATGAAGTGCAGGCTTAAGTTCATATCATTTATAATATAAATCCTCTCTCTCTATTCATCTAGAGAGGAGTGAAAACAACCTTCTATTATAGGTAGTGAACTGAACCTTCAGGTAACAGAGAACATTTAAGTGTATGAAGAGTTCAAATACAGTATTAGACCCAGATGACTGAATCAGAGATGGCTGAAAGTATGTTCAGATATGAATATGCACTACCTTGAATTAACTTTTAGAAGCCATGTAAGTTTTGAAATTGTAACAAAGATTAAGATAGGCAAAAGGTGTCTTGTCCCTTTTGTTTTAAGGATGGGTTCCAGAAACCTAGAAATGTTGACATTGATCTCCAGAGAAAATTATGCAACAGATTTTTAGGAAGATGACTTGATTACATATATAAGGAATAAAGGGTCGAAATCAAAGGAGTCCAACTTGGGTCAGTAAGAAAATTCAAATTAAATCAATACTAATTCCTTTTTTTTATACTTTTCTCTATTAGAAGAGCAGAAGAATATCATAGACATACATGGTCCTAATTTCAGTAAGATATTCAATAGTCCAATCCAGTTTTGCTCAGTGGTTAGTGTTGGCCCACGGACTGAAGGGTCATGGGTCTGATTCCAGTCAAGGGCATGTACCTCAATTGCAGGCTTGATCCCCTGCCCGGTCAGGCATGTGCAGGAGGCAGCCAATCAATGTGTCTCTCTCACATTGATGTTTCTCTCTGTCTTTCCCTCTCTGAAATCAATAAAAATATACCATATATTTTTTTTCAACAAAAATAACATGAAATAATGGAACATAAGGTAGAAAGGTACAGAACAATGAAATATCAACCAGGAGTGCTATGCTGTTCTATGTAACTGGATTCTTTTCTTTTGCAATATAGCCTCTCAGTGATTTCAAAGAACACAATGAAAGTCATGATTATCCACTTTTAGAACACCAAAATCTACTTTATTCATTTAGAATGGAATATTTAATTTTTTTTTCACTTTCATACTTTGGGCTTCTGCACATGCTTTTGCTTTCGTCTGCAACGACTTTACCCTGCCCTCTCTGTTTGGCCAACAGAAAAGCTCCCATATTTCCGTCATTCAGTTTGACTTATAATTATAGCCTCTAAAATAACTTCTCCGAGGAGCAACTGAAATATTTTTCCCATACTTGAGTGACTGAGCTAGTCACATTGCATTTTAAAGTAGTTGTTTACTTGCTCTTCATCCATCTAGAGTTCACCTGTCTTGAAAAAGGATCTTTTTCTTTAAATTTATCTTGGTATCTTGAGAAACATGATGGATAGTGAGTGTTTGATGAACAAACCCAACTTTGCATGATTCCAGAAGAAGTTAATCAGGATGGTGAGAAACGTGTACCAGAAATTACAGAAGAAACTACATTTGGCTAAATGATAGAAAAGAAAACTCCTGGTAACAAAAAAGGTGTTTATCTGTTCATTGTTCCAGATTTCTACTGAGATGAGCCAGAGGCTGTAAAGTGATTGACAAAATGGCAAATATGAGCAACAATGAGAGGGGATCACCAACATGACAACATTTTTTTTGGTAAATTATACAAAAAATAATAGCACAATTGAGATCATATTGAAAACAGGAAACAGTAGAGCCAAAAAATGACACGCATCCAGAAGCCAGTTCCCAACATAGCAGTTTTATCTTAATAAAGAAGAAATTTCTCTATAAGAAAATTCCCTCACTTGCTATTGCGTAAATTCCTTATAATAAAGTCATAGGACTTCCTATAACTTTAGCTCCCTCCCAGTTCACCTTAGACTGCTAAATCACTGATTTTGTAAGTACAGTCCACCAGTCAAAAATCTCAAAATTTAGTAAAGGATTTTTATGACACAGTTCAGGCAATTAGCCCTGAGCACTCATCAAAGCACTTATGGGCAATTACTAACCCTGAGTAGACTTCTCCTCGTCAATGCATAATTTTTAAGTATTTAAGTATGTGAAATATGTAAAGATATACTTTTCCCAAAATAACTTACCATTGAAAACAAAAGTCAAATTTGAAAACATCAACTTGTGCTCACACTAACAGTCAAAGAAAAGAATATATTCTGACATCTGAGATGAAAAACAAAATGATAAAGCAATGGGCTTAGAAGAATTAAAAAGAGCACAATGAGGTCAAGTAAATTGAAGAAATGCAATTGCAGAATTAATATACGCAGCCAAAGCAAAGAATAGTAAAATTGGTGCTATAGAAAATTTGAATTCATTTTGGAGGGAGAAAATACCCAGCAAGCAGAAAGGCTAGAAAATGGGTTTTTAGTAGATATCTATGTGTTCCTACAGAAGGTACCAGAAAATATTGGATTAAAAATAAAAATCAATACCAGAAAAATTTTAATAACCATACCAATAAATAATCCAATTAAGCTAAATTTCCTGATCTATAAAATTGTCTGAATCTCTATATCTAAAGGACTTACTAAAAAACAGGAAATTAATATAGAAAAAATACAAAGCTATATGGCAATTGAATTTTTAATTTTTAAAGACAAATAAAGATTCTCCTAATTATCCAGATTGAAACAGCTTGAGGAGAGGTGGCTTCAGAATTCCCTCCCCCCACCCCCAAGTATTAAACGTTAAAATGAAATGATAGTGATACCTACAGAGTTTGTAAAGAAAATAACTGTAACCCAAGATTTGGATGTGCAGCCAATTGTAGGTCATATGTAAATACAAAAGAAAGATTCTCTAAATGCTGAAGCTCGGAATCTAGAATATTAGGTATTTTTTCTATAAATATGTTTTGAAGGTATATACCAGCCAACCGAAAGGTGAATCACAAGAAAGAGTAAAAAAAAAAACAAAGAAAACAAAACTGAAACGACCAACAAAAACACCAAAATACAAAAAAGAATCTGTATCAGGGCAGAAACATTGAAAAACTGCAAACTATATAGACTGCAGGGTCACAAGGACATGTTCATTTCAAACCATCTACACTTAAAAAAATACTATCTAACTTTTTAAAATAACCATCAAATTGGGAAGAAAATACATCTGGAATTTTGGCAGAAAATAAGCTGTTTTTCTTAGTATATAAAGAACATTTCTAAATTATTAAGAAAAAGAAAACCACACCAATTAAACAAAACAACAAATAACCCAAATGGACAATTAACAAACGAGAAATTTAAAGTTGTAAGAAAGCTATGAGAAAAGATTAGCTTTTACTAGCAACCAAATAAGAAAATTTAAAACAATACTGTGAAATCATGTTTCATCAGATTAGAAATAATGAAAAAGTATGATAACCACTCCAACATGGCCAGAATGAAAAGAAATGGATATTCTCGTACATAACTTCTGATAATATATAAATTGTTATAGTCTTTCTGGACAGACATTTGACAACATGAATCAATATCCTAACAATTATTTACTCTGACTCAACAATTCCACATTAAAATTACTGAACAAAAAGCTTCTGCACAGCAAAAGAAACCATAACAACAACAACAACAACAAAACACAAGAAAGCCCAGTGCATGGGAGAACATATTTGCCAATGTTATCTCCAATAAGGGTTTAATCTCCAACATTTACAGGGAACTCATACAACTTAACAAAAGGAAGATAAACAATCCAATAAAAAAATTGGCAATGGATCTAAATAGATACTTTTTGAAAAATGACATACAGAAGGTCAAGAGACATATGAAAACATGCTCAAAGTCACTAATCATCCGAGAGATGCAAATGAAAACGACAATGAAGCACCATCTCACATCTGTCAGAATGGCTATCATCAATAAATCAACAAACGACAAGTGCTGCCAAAGGATGGGGAGAAAAAGGAACCCTCTTGCCCTGCTGGTAGGAATGCAGACTGGTGCAGCCACTGTGGAAAACAGTATGGAGTTTCCTTTAAAAACTAACAATGGAACTCCCATTTGACCCAGAAATCCCACTTCTAGGAACATATCCCAAGAAATCAGAAACACCAATCAGAAAGGATATATGCATCTCTATGTTCCTAGCAGCACAATTTACAATAGCTAAGATTTGGAAACAGCCTAGGTGCCCATCAGCAGATGAGTGAATTAAAAAACTGTGGTTCATCTACACAATGGAATACTATGCTTCTATAAAAAGGAAGGAACTCCTACCATTTGCAACAGCATGGATGGAGCTGGAGAGCATTATGTTAAGTGAAATAAGCCAGTCAGAGAAAGATAAATACCACTCATTTGTGGAATATAATGAACAACATAAACTGATGAACAAAAACAGATCCAGAGACAGAGCAGCATTGATCAGACCATCAAACCTCAGAGGGAAGGCATGGGAGGGTGGGGGGAAGATGGAGAGATCAACCGAAGGACTTGTATGCGTGCATGTAAGCATAACCAATGGACACAGACACTAAGGGGGTGAGGGCATGAGAGGGGGGTTTAGGAGGCAATAGGGGGATAAGGACCTATATGCAATACCTTAATCAATAAAGAAAAAAGTAAAAAAAATAAAATAATAAAATTACTGAACAAAATATATTCACAACAGAATGTAAGAATGATATAGAAAAATTACCCATTTATTGATTCAACAAACATTTGTTCATTACTTATATGTGCCAGATAATCTTCTAAATGAGGACTTGTAGTTATAAACATGACAGCTAACATCCTTAATCTCATGGAGTTTTCATTGGAATGAGGGCAAATAGGAGAATAGGCACATCATTGAAATCTCTGAATATATAGGAAACCACATAGGGGAAAAAAGACAGAAATACCTGAAGTCATAGAATACCAATGACTTTCATATGATTTTAAAATACTCTTTCTTTAACACACCTATTGAGGAAGTATTTCTTAAAGATGTGCCATAATAAGAAAGTAGAATTCTATAGTCACCTTATAATGGCAAATACTTTTGGGGAATCCCAATATCTGTTACCAAACAGAAGGTTCTGAAATGTTCTGTAAGTACTACATCTGTCTTATTTTTCTTTAACTTTTCCAAAACTATTATTTTTCAAATGTAGCTCTAGAGTTTTTACCAGATCATATAAAAATGCATTCGAAATACTAACAGAAAGACAAGTATAAAGGAACAAATATAAATCATCTGAATCACACCATCCTGAGATAACCACCACAAACATTTAGCTGCTGACCTTCCGTTCTTTCCACAGAAAAATGTGTGTTTGGAGATTGTTCTAAACCACTGTCACTATAGTAGATATACTTGTTTTCTTTTTTCTTTTTTCTCAGCTCTCTATTTTCCATCCTGAAAATCAATATTAAGGATCTGGTTGTTACTTTTACGCAAACTTGTCTAGTTACATACAATTTCTTAAGGATGTGACATGGGATTGTCCCTGTAGTCAGAGTGACCTGAAACCTTACCCAGAATATGCTCAGTGATAAGTACCAAAACATTCTATAGAATTTAAAGAGAGGTCCTGGACACATTTTACTAAGAGGGGAACAAAGCTGGGTCTGTGAATCTTAGTTAGCTTCCAACTTGAGCCTACATATAAATACTTATTTATATGAAGAGGAGGTGTCCTAACAAAGAGTAAGCCAGCGCCCTGACTGGTTTGGCTCAGTGGATAGAGCGTTGGCCTGCAGACTGAAGGGTCCCAGGTTCAAT